ATCATCATCATCATCATCATCACCATCATCGTCATCATCGTCATCATCATCATCAGCACCAGCATCATCAGCATCAGCATCATCATCATCGTCATCATCATCATCATCAGCATCAGCAGCATCACCAGCATCAGCAGCATCATCAGCATCAGGATCAGCATCACAGTCAGCATCAACATCATCATCATCATCATCACCATCAGCATCAGCATCATCATCATCATCATCATCAGCAGCAGCAGCATCATCAGCATCATCATCAGCAGCATCACCATCATCAGCAGCATCATCAGCATCAGGATCAGCATCACAGTCAGCATCAACATCATCATCATCATCAGCATCATCATCAGCAGCAGCAGCATCAGCATCATCAGCAGCAGCATCAGCAGCATCAGCAGCAGCAGCATCAGCATCATCATCCTACTCCTCCACGTCCCGACCCCAGACGTGTCGGCCCGGTGGGCAGGGCGCCTCGCCCGAGACCTCCTCGGCACGCACGATCTCGAGAGGCTTGAAAACTGCAGGAGCTCCACGGATGGAGGGCCGCTGGTTTTTTCAAAATGTGGCCCCCGCCCCATCGCCGCGCACACTCGGCTTGTGAAGGTGTCGGGGCGGAGAGCGGTCCGTGCTCAAGACGTGGCTCGCGTCGTGGCGCCGCGCACATTCGTCCTAGAAAAGCTTCCAGGATGGAGGGCGGCTCGACTTCAAAAGTGAGGTTCTCGCCCTGGCGCCGCGCACATTCGCCTCAAAGGTTGCATCAGTGCCTGGTGCCTCGGCGCCGCGCACACTAGCGTTGAAAGTGCTATAATAGGAGCCTGTTGCCTCGGCGCCGCGCACATGAATTTTGAAAGGTCACAAAAGTGTGAAAGATTCGTATTGTCGACATCCCAGGAACGGCGCTCTGGCTGGGCTTAGGATTGCCAGGACGCAGCAGTCAACTCGATTCGTGGTGGTGGGGTCCCAGGACTGGCGCCCCGCTGCGAATTAGCAGTGTCAGGACGTAACAATCACGATGTGTCGCGGCGTTGAAGTTCCAGGAATGGTGTCCTGACACGATGGGGTATTATCAGACGGCTATCTTCCAACGGGGCAATTCCCGCAGTAACCACAAAGTATAGGTAGCGACCTAAGAAGAAGGGAATTTGGAGGGAGGGTTTATTGTAACATAGCTGAAGCGACTGGGATTGCCACTGGTCCCCCGCCTCCTTCTGCATATCTTATTCCTACTTCCCCGTCTGAGTTCGGGACCAGGGGGACGAATCGGAGGGTGGAGGAGAATGATGGCAAAGGGCAGGATCAGAAACAGTGGGACAAAGACCGACTGAGGAGATGGAGGACGAGGAGGAGGGAGGGAGGATGAAGAGGATACCGAGGTGGAGGTGGAGATGGAAGTCGAGATGAGCAAAGAGAAGACCAGCACGCAGACACGAGGAACGGTCAAAGTCGGCGCCCGGCTAGCCCCACAGCCGGCGGCGCCTACCCAGTGTGCGCCTCTCGCACCAGCTGGGCCAGCAGTGCTGGTGGCAGACTGCGCACAGTCGGAGTGCTCGAGACACCCTGGGGGAGCCTGCGGAGCGGGAGGAGGGGAGGGCAAGGGGGAGACGAGGGAGAGGGCTAGGACAAGGACGGGGAGGGGGGAAGGGGAGCGGGAGGAGGAGGGGGGAATGAGGAGGAGGAGGAGGAGACGGAGGAGGAGGAGGAGGAGGAGGCGGAGGAGGAGGAGGAGGAGGAGGGGGAGGAAGTGGAGGAGGAGGAGGAGGAGGAGGGAGACGAGGAGGAGGAGGAGGAGGAGGAGGAGGAGGAGGAGGAGGTGGGGGAGGGAGACGAGGAGGAGGAGGAGGAGGAGGACGGAGGGCAAAGCCTGGACCTCCCGCACCCGGCGGGGGACCATGCGCGGCGGCCTTGCGCGGCCGCGCCATCGGCCGACTGGCTCCAAGGGCCCCCAGACGACCAAGAGGAGGCGCCCGCCTGCGTGGCACAGGCGAGCGCGCAGGCGCCGAGCAGAGGCAAAATCGTAGGCCCTGGAAACGACAGGGCCGTTTTTGTTACCGGTTCCGTTTTGGCGTTTTTGCTGCTGGTTCCGAGGCCGATTTTGTTGCCGATTCCGTCGTCGTTTGTTGTGTCTCTTCGGCTCCTGCTCCAGTTCCAATCCCGGAGCCATGCTTTGGTTGTTTGCCGTTTCCGGTCGCCGTTTCTTTGCCGTTTCCATTCTCAAGAGACCCTTGTTTCGGAAAATGAAAGGAAAAAACAAAAAACAACAAAAAACAAAAACATACAAAAAACGGCCCTGCCGCTTCGGGGGCCCACTAAGAGGCAAGAGTGCTTCCTTCGCCTTGATAGAGCTCGGCGTCTACTTCGACGGCGTCATGGCATTGGACAGCATTCTTCAGATTTGGCGACTGCAGGAGAGTCTACGACTACCAGATGGACTAGCAATGTGTGCGACTGTCGACACAAGGCTGGGGGCTGGGCTTGCAAAGGGAAGGGATGTAAGCAGAACTACCGACGGCAACAAAAGCAGCAAGCGGGCTTGAGAAAAAGGCGGGAGGCGCTGGCAAGTCACGACAACGAGCTCAAGAGGCTCATCGACGAGCACATGATGAGCACCACCGAGTCTGCACTAAACCGTCGGAGATCCGTGCGCCTGCCAGAATGCCCAGCCGACGTAAGATCGTATCTCGAGACAATGGATGGTAAGATCGCCTTGGGGATTTCATGTTGGAGGCCGGGCGTATGGGCACGCGGCTACTACACAGGCGTATGAGTTGTCAGTACTGAAAGACATGATGTGGCTGGTCAAACCGCACGAGGTATAGCAGAAAGAGGCTCGCGATGCTATTGCGCCTGCCGATAAGAAAACTAAGGGCGCTGAACAAGGTGGTTCAAACAGTGGAGATTCACATGTCGTACGAGGTAGCAATGCTGGCGTACCAGCAGGACTTGCTCAAATGTAAAAGCGCTCGGGCAACACTTCCACCATCAGGAGCTCCAGGCACGACGGCGACACGAACAGCATCAGTGGCAACGGGGACTTCGACAAGCGCGAGACATGGCGCAAGGGCTTCAAGCAAAACAGCGACACAAACAACTGCAGCAGCAGGAGGTTCGACAAGCTCAGGCACTGGCAAAAAAAGTCCCAAGCACGACAACGACACCCACGGATGCAGCAGCAGCAGGAGGTTCGACAAGCGCGGGCACAAGCAGAAGAACTTCAAGCGCGACTACGACATGAGCAGCGCCACCACCAGGAAGCAGTGCATGCGCAATGGTCGGTCCAGCAGATGGCGGCGGCGGAGACCCACCACAGGAACCTCGAGATGAGCACGGTGCAGAAGGAGGTATGAGGAGCAGGTCAAGCACACGGCTCTGCAGGCGGACCTCGAGGCGGCAGCTGAGCGCAAACAAATCGAAGCGGAGGCATTGGTTTACAAGCCCCTCCTGGAAAGCCAGCGCGTGCAGAGGGTGGAGGCCCGTGCGGCGAAATGAGCAAGGGATGACAACGGCGCAGGAGATGAAGATGAGCGAGGAGAAAGTTCCCGAGGAAATGCAGACCAGAGCAACAGCGTTGACAGAGCCACTCGAAGCTCAGCGCGCAAGCTTGGACGAGGAGTACCAGGTTAGGTGGAGACGAATGCACGAGTACGGCGCGGCTGTGAAAGGCCAGGCGTTCGAGGAAGCCAGACAGAAGGAACACAGGTGCCAAGAGTTAGGGGGCAGCACGCAGCCGCCAACATGATTATGCAGGAGTCGGATATGCAGGAGATGTCGGCGGCAAAAAGAAAGCTGCTGTAGTCCTCACCGTGCGAGACGGGTTGGTAAAGCACCTACGATCACCTTGGACCAAGTCAGACTGCTGACCCCCCCGCACCATGAACATCGTTTGCGATTTGATCCATATGGCAGCGGCACGCCGCGGGTGAGCCAATACCCTCATGATGCACTTCGCTTGGAGCAACCTGGAGTAGAGAAACGGCCGCAACAAGCAAAAGAACTGGCGCAAATGACCACCATGGACGGCTACGACTTAGACATCGGTTCCACCATCGACCAGGCCGTCCACATCGAGTCGGAGCGCTCAGCACATGAAGCGGAGGCTAGAGCAAAGCTGGATGCTATTGAGGCAGCGGGTGACGAAGTACCTGCGCAGCCGGAGGCTGAGCACCGACGGTGGGAGATTATAAACTCGGAGAAGCTCCTGGAGTACATTGCTAGAAAGGTATCCGAACTTCAGGAGTCCGCCAGCATCGATGCGGTTGGAGTGGCTGTCCTCAGCAGCGACTAAAAAAGGGCACAGAAAAGCACCAGCGCGAAAAAAAATAGGAGCCGAATCCTTCGCCGTGGACAGGCAAGGCACCACCGAGGAGGACACGGATCGCACTTTGGCCAAGAAGCACACACCCTCGTAAGAGTCTACGTGCGGTTGACGAGCCACTATTTCGGAGGCAATTGCTGGGAGGTCTTCGTCGAAAAGACTGGGAAGGATTAAGCCCCATGCTGTTACGACGGAGTGGGCCTCGGATTCAGCGAAATCAAACCGGATCAAGCGGGATTTCGCGCACTAAGCTGAATTAGACGGGATCAAGCCGGATTAAGCCCAATTTCATACAGGGGCAAAATCAGAATTCGACCTCCCAGGAATTGCATCCGAACATCACATCCGGGCGATGCTGAGCAACACGTCGCGCGATCATCTGGCTCGAGGGGGGGGCGCGCCCATCACCGTCAGGGAATGGGCGAACCCAGAGCATCGGGGGCGCGCAAACATGAATTGGCGATCCATGGATTTGGCGCGCGGTCGCCACATCCATGGCGCCTCCCCTCCCCAAAATGCGGCCGGTGCCGCCTCATTCGGCAGCGGGAATCCACGATGTCCCATAGCAACGGGACCCGTCGCTAATCCACGCCTCCTTGATTCATGTTTGCGATCGCCTGAGGGCAGAAGGATCCGAAGGCGCCACAACGCCCCCAGGGGCGCGGGAGGCTCCCGCCTCGGGATGGGCGACCGAGATGGGTCCAGCACAAAACTTCCGTTCAAATACACGCGGTTAGCGCGGCCTCCGCGGTCGAGGCCGTTGCAGAAGAGTCTGACCAGAACGGCTCCCAGATTGACTGTCCTAGCCGACCTCCAGCATGCACATTATGGAGCGACTGCGTGCAAAGCGCCTACCATGACAGAACTGCGACATCCCCCCAGCGAATACCTGCACAACCTGACGCAATACCTGTGGAAGCGCACCCTTCGTGCTCGCCTGCCACGAGGCCCCCTCGAAACAGACGTGGGTGTGCCCCCTCGAGCATGTCTAGGTGGAAGGCGTCCGTGTACTTCCGTCAGTTTGGCTCCGAAGCTGTACCCATGGCCTCCCAGTCGGTGCTGACGGCCCTCAGGGCGGCCGAGGATGTCCTGGGGCCCGAAATTGACACGCCTCCGCCGATGAGGGAGGCACTTGAGCAGTTTAAGGAGTTGCAGCACGAAGTCGAGCAATGCGGAATGCTCAGCCCTCTTTGTGATGCCTGGAGGAAAGGCTCGTGGACTGTTGGCGGTGTGCAAAGGGCGTAGCGCCCACCCGAGCACGAGAAATGCCCAGATCCACAACATGAAATACGCTGCTCGTGGCCTTCACCCTGAGACGGGGGAGGCGATTCCATGATGCACGGGGGAGGGAGGCCTGTCGGGTCGCTGACCACGCCGCCTGGCATTGGCAGTGGCCGCAGAATCTGGATGGCCTCCCTCCAAACCCTTGTGCCCTCGTTTGATGATAGAGGAAAAAGAACCATGCACATACACCGACTCTGGCCAGGCCCATCCTGAGCCCAGGATCGGTACATACGCCCTCCTACCTTGGCCAGGAAGGCATATGCACCGATCCTGGGTCGAGGATGGGCCTTGCCAGGATCGGTGCATGTGCATAGTTCTCTTCGCCCGATGTGATGAGTGTGTCTTATGCAGTCGTCAGAGCGAGGAGGCGGGGCCAGCTGCGGGAGCAGCCTGGCCCGGTCCTTCCGTGCAGCCCTGCGCCTCCGACCCGGCCGCGCTCAAGGCGCCGCGCGCCTCCTCCCTACAAAAAACGCTCCGATTGGCAGCAGGCATAGGAAAGCCCACATCACTAGGGGGAAAACAAACCTCCCTCGCTTCTGACCACCCTCGCTTCCAAGAGATACCAAACGATGCCAAATTGCAGCCTGTACTGATCAGGCCGCTTGACGAGGAGGCGCGTGGTATGGCTTGGTTTTGCCTGGAAGCGAAAGCGGGGTAGGTAATTCACGCTCTGACATCCTGCTTATGTTCCTCGAAGGTAGAAAAGGAGGGGGCGGGCCACTCCCCGGCCATCTTCGGGGGAGAGAGGGGGGAGTGGTAGTCATCTGGAGCAACTGCTGAGCAAGTGCGAAGGAAACAAGGGGGGGAGAGGAGAGGGGGAGGGGGAGAGGGGAGAGGGGAGGGAGGGAAGTCGAGGAAGAGCGGGCCCCCCTCGGCGCCGCACATCCCCGATGCGAGTCGAGGCCGCGCATGCCTGCAGCTGAATTCGAACCGGCTAGGATCCGCCGAGGATTAAGTCGGGCCTGTCCCTCTACAGGAGAAATGTTCAAAAATAGTCCAAAAATAGTCTGGGACGATTTTTTGAATATGTTTGAATACTTTTTGTCTGACAATATGTTTGTATGTTTCGTCCAAAATCCGCATGTAGGGGGACATGCCCGACCTAAGCCGAGGACCGCCGTGCCCTCCTTATGCACGCCGCCGCCCTCGCCGCCGCCGATCGGCTAAGCTCCGCCAAGGACCGCCGTGTCATCGGCGTCCTCGCCGCCGTCCTCGCCGCCGCCGTTGCTCTCCTTCCACTCCGCGAGGGCTTTGTCGTACGCGGCCTTCAGCACCGCGGCCCTGTCCTCGAACGGCTTCTTGACCGCCGCCGGCAGCGCCTTCCACTTCTCGCCCGCGAGTTTGCCGACGACGGGACCCTTGGCGGTGCCGGCCTCCTTCGTCAGCGCCTCGCGGTTCTCGCCGAGCCACATCCAGTAGGCGTTCTGCGGCCGCGGCGGCTTCCCGGACGCCTTCTCGGCGTCGTGTTTCGCCTTCTTGGCCACCTTGGCCTGCTTCGCGTCCTTCGCCTCCTTCTTCTCCAGGCGCCGCTTGCCCACCTGGCCGCCGCCAGCCTTGAACTTCTCCATGGCCGCCTCGTACTCGGACTTCAGCTTCGCCGCACGGTCCTCGAAAGGCTTCCTGGCCGCGGCCGACATGGCCTTCCACTTGTCGCCTGCGAGCTTGCCGATGACTGGCGCCTTCCCGCTGCCAGCCTGAGGGGGGGGGGGGCGAGGGCGAGAAAACCCAACCAGCCCTCTGGGCGCACAGTCACCGCGCTACCAAGATGGCCTCCAAGGTTATACAAGAGAGGCAAAGTTAGCCGAACAGATCCTCCAGCAAGCATCCAAGAAGCCGCAAGACTGCTGCAAGACGGCTCCAGGTGGCCACGGAGCCGCCCAATGATGACCCTGAGTCCAAAACCCTTTTTATGTAGATAACACGAGGAGTTGCTAATGCTGGTCGCCTTTCTTCTCGCATTGTGCCTTCCGATTGGCTTCTGAAACCTCGAGATGGCTCCACGACCGCCTAAGGGAACCCAAAAGAGGGCACAGAAGTGGCCTGGGCGCCCCAGGAGGAGGAGGAGACGGAGGATGAGGAGGAGGAGGAGGAGGAGGAGGAGGAGGAGGGGGAGGAAGAGGAGGAGGAAGAAGAGGAGCGTCCCCAAAGGGTTTCCAGGAGGCGCCATCTCGGGCTCTGGAGGGGCAGCACCGATCCGCGCCGCCCACTTCGTGCTCGCGATGGCTCCAAGAGTACCCGAAAGGCCTCCAGAGACCACCTCCTCCTCCACCTCTTCTTTTCCCTATTATTAGGATCATTATTGGTTATCATGCTTATTATTACTACTATTCTTATTAGGATTATTAGTATCCTTCTTATTATTAGTAGTAGTAGTATTCTTACTCTTATTCCTTGTATTATCTTCCTCCTTTTCCTCCTCCTGCTCTTCCTCCTCCTCCTCCTCCTCCTCCTCCTCCTCCTCCTCCTCCTCCTCCTCCTCCTCCCCCTCCTCCTCCTCCTCCTCCTCCCCGAGAGAGCCCCGAGAGAGCCCCGAGGGCTCCCAGAAGGGTGCCGTCCCCAAGATAGCTCCGAGAAGCATCCAAGAGGCTCCGGAAGGAATCGTAAGTTCACCCTTGCTGGCCCCTTTGTCTCACCATGTGCTCGTCTGTTTCCTGTCTCCCGACAGATCACCTGGGCATCGTTCGTGGATGGGCTGATAAGAGCACGCGAAGCGTCAAGATGTTTCAGATATGAGGGTTTGCCTGAGGAGGCCCTGCTCAGTGAAAGAGGACTGGTGGCTGGTAGGCTCTGTGCGGCCGGCTCCCTTCTTGGGTTCGCGGGGGCAAGCTGAGTTAGGAATCCCTTCGCCAAGATCCACCGACCCTGCCGGCTTGTGTGAAGGAGGCCTTCTTTCGCCAGCGCAATGACTCTGCCTAGCCGCCGACGCCACAGTGTGTGAAGGAGGCCTGGGGTGGTCGTCCAGGGTGGTCCTGGGAGACGCTCTTCCAGTCGAAGCTCCCCCCCCCTTGCCTGGCGGCCTCCTGGGACTGTCCGAGCTCGCCAGCCGAGATGGATCGACCCAGGTCGCAATCGAGTCGACAGGAGTCCACCTCCCTGTGGTCCTTTCTCCGCCTGGGAGAGGGCGCCGGGGGGGCGGGGCGGAGGCCAGGGGGGACGGGGGTCCTAGCGGGGGCCCAAGTTCGGCTGCACGCAAGAGTGACCCTGGGCAAGAATGATATTTGGTGCGCGGCTCTGGGGCGGCGCCGGAGCGCCAAACCCGAACGCGCGCAAACTGCTGCTGTCGCATCGCATTCAACCGTCTGTAGACACTGGTGTGCTCCCACACAAGGTCACTCCAGTGAAAGGTCATTCTTTCGTGTGAACAAGTGTGGCCCCAGGGGAATACACCTACCCGCACCCCCCCTCCCTGAAGTGACTCAGGCGATCTTGGGCACGGTTTGGATATCTCTGGACCAACTCGGCCTCGGAGGCGGCCGGCCCAAGAGGCCAACATCAGCTGAGCCTCTAAGAGTCCGTTCCTTTATTCGGGCCGATCACGCGCGTGATCGGGGTGGGTCTCGTCGCGCCTGTCACGCAACGGCAGGGGTGCGCTTGCGTTGTTGCAACATGCCCGTAAGCACCGCTGTGCGACTGCGAAAAACAATCGCCTGCGACCCGACAGTCACGACGAGCCTGTGACCAGCGCCACAGAAGCTCGCGATCCGATCAACGCGGCGTGCCGGTGAACCCCAAGGCTTTTGAAGAACACAGCGTCCGTGAACACCACAGCGCCTGTGAACATCAAAGCGCCGGTGAACACAGCGCCTGCGAACACCACAGCACCTGTAAATACGCATCGCCTGTGCACACTACACAGCCGGCAAACACCACAGCGTTTGTGAACACCACAACGCCTGTGAACGCAGCGCGCGCGAGCAGCGCGGAGCCCGGGGTCCGGCGGCAGCGCGCAAGCACTAGCAACAGCAGTAACAGTAGACGTAGTAGTGATAGCAGCAGCAGCAGCAGCGGTAGTAGCAGTAGTAGTAGTAGTAGTAGTAGTAGTAGTAGTAGTAGTCGCAATGACAGCAGTACTACTAGCACCACCACTACTACTACTACTACTACTACTACTACTACTACTACTACTACTACTACGACTACTACTACTACTACTACTACTACTGCTACTACTACTACTACTACTACTACTACTACTACGACGACTACTACGACTACTACTACTACTACGACTACTACTACTACTACTACTACTACTACTACTACTACTACTACTACTACTACTACTACTACTACTACTACTACTACTACTACTACTGCTACTACTACTACTACTACTACTACTACTACTACTACTATACTACTACTACTAACTACTACTACTACTACTACTACTACTACTACTACTACTACTACTACTACTACTACTACTACTACTACTACTACTACTACTAC